CCACCCCCACTTCCAGCCCTCCTGGGAGCGGTCCCTGAGCTCAGAGTGAACCCTGAGCACAGCTTCCATGTGCCCCCCAACCCCCCCAAACATAACCAACAAAACAAAACAAATGCTTTGGTCCAAGATGTGACGCAGTAGGAAGTTTGCCTGCATGTGAGAGGCCCTGGGTTCGAGTGCTGATGCTTGCAAAACCAAGAAACACTCCTTAGGGAAGCTGGAGAGAGATATAGACCAGATAGGGCGCTGGCCGTGAGTCTGCAGACCCAGGTCTGTCTGATCCTCGGCACCAAATCTGGTTGCCCCGTCAGGATTGATCCTTGAGCACAGAACCAGGAGTAGACCCCGAGCACTGTTGGCTGTGGCCCGCCAACCAAAACCAACAAATGAAAACTCTAATTGGGCTGGAGAGATAGTTCAGTAGACTGAGCTCAAGCTTTGCGTGCAGGAGACCCAAGTTGATTACTGACACTGCATGGTCCCCTGATAGAGAGAGGCCCTCCCGTTGATCGTCGATTTGCTCGAGCGGGCCCAGTAACGTCTCCATTGTGAGACTTTGTTGTTACTGTGTCTGGCATATCGAATGGTCCCCTGAATGACCCCTAAATACCAAGCCAGAATGCTCTTGAACATTCCTAAATATGACTCGCCCCCCCACACAAAAAAAAGAAAATTAGTCTCTATGATGAGTTTTGCCTAATTTTGGAAAAGCCTTTTTAACCAGCCACACAGTGTTTGGCTGGAGCTATAGCACAGAGGGTAGGGCATTTGCCTGGCACGCGACTGGCCCAGCTGACCCGGGTTTGATTCTTCCGCCCCTCTCGGAGAGCCCGGCAAGCTACCGAGAGTATCTCGCCCGCACGGCAAAGCCTGGGAAGCTACCCATGTCGTATTCCATATGCCAAACACAGTAACAGCAGGTCTCACAATGGAGATGTTATTGGGCCTGCTTGAGCAAATTGATGAACAATGGGAGGACAGTGCTACAGTGCTACAATGCTTGTTTAAGCAATATGAAGACATGAGTTTTTTATTCCTATAGTGTTTGTCTAAATATTTTATTTATTTTATCTATTTATTTTATCTTTTTAGGTCTACCTGGTGATGCTCAGGGGTTCTTCCTGACTCTGTACTCAGGAATTACTCCTGGCGGTAGTCAGGGACCATATAGGATGCTGGGGTCATATAGGATCGAACCTGGATTGGATTACTATCTCCCCCCCCACCACCGCCCCCGATACTATCTCTCCAGCCTCTCTGTTCATCCGTATATTGAAATGGAAATCTTTGTCTTTGCTGTTGTTGTGAAGTTGATGAAAAGCAGTGGACAATGGTATAAAGTTTACTGAGTTGAAGTTAGAGAGATAGTATAGCAGGCAGGTTGCTTGCCTTGAATACGGCCCATCCAGCTTCAATCCCTGGCACCCTATACGACCCCCCACAGAGCCAGGAGGAAGCTGAACACCACCAGCTGTGGTCCCCAAACAGAAAAATCAAGTTTACTGAATTTGCTTGATTATGAGTCTTGGGGACCAAAAATGCTCACCGTTGATTGGTTTTATATTTGATTCTCCCCGTCTCCCTCTTAATACATTGACTTAACTCAATTTGTTGGCGACTTTCAGCTTTGTCTCTGTGTTCATGATGTGGAAATTTTGTTTTACTCAGGTGGAAAAAGAAAATCAATGATTCTTTTGATACGAATCAAAGACACTACAGTTCTTTTGAGGGCTTGCGAGTTTTTTTTTTGGTCTGGTTTGGATGCTCTGTGGGGAGCGCAGAGAACCTTCCCTGCTATCTAGACTTTTAACAGTGACAGAGATTTCAAGTCCCTTCTGGAACAGGGCCTGATAAACAGTCACTCTGCTACTGGAAGGGATGCAAAGAATGCACGGCTTCGGGGAAGTAGGTCAGGGTTGCAAGGAATCCCATTGGCCAGAGGAAGTTTCTCAAGCCTCCATCCCGGACGCCCCCCTGGGCCCTCGGGCCGGGCCTTCAGTTCATGGGACGTTGCAGCCGCTTCTTCCTCTCTGGACCCAGAGAACGGAGACACACAAGCACATCAGCTAGTCCCTAAGCGGCCTATCAGCCCCTGATTAAAACCCAGGGGCCACACCTGGCAGTGCTCAGGGGTTCCTTCCTACCCCGGTGGTGGTAGTGGAGGGGGGGAGGTGCTCCCTGAAATGATGGGGGAGTCTGTGCGGTGTTGCGGGGCCCACCCAGGTCTTCCACCTGCAAAGCAGGCACCCGGCCCTGTGGAGCTGCCTCTTACGCCTCAAGAATGTTTTTCCAAGTCAGGCCATTGGCAGTGGCCAGCGGAAACAAACCTTGAGATTCTATCTACAGAGCTGAAGCTTCCAACGGCAGCGGGGAGCAGGGGTGGAGGAGAGGGGGGAGGACAAGAAGGGCCCCAGGAATAGTGGTGGAGAGATTGGCAGGCGATGGTAGGTGTGGTGTGGTAAATATGATGTCACAATAGTGAGTGAAGATTTCCTGGGGCCGAAGAAATAGCAGCGAGGTCAAGGCACTTCCTTTCCTTCTTGTAGCCAGCAAAGAAAGGGTCAGTTCCCAGCACTGCTGTGACCCCTTGAGCAGAGTCGGGAGTAAGCCCTGAGCACATTTTGGGGGTGTGGCTCTCAGACCCACCCCAATTTTTTAAAAATTAAAAAAACATTTTGGGGTTGGAGCCACAGCACAGCGGGAAGGGCGTTTGCCTTGCACGTGGCCGACCCCGGTTCGATTCCCAGCATCCCATATGGTCCCCCGAGCACCGCCAGGAGTAATTCCTGCATGCAGAGCCAAGAGGAACCCCTGAGCATCACCATGTATGACCCAAAAAGCAAAAATAAGTAAATAAATAAAAATTAAAAAACATTTTTATTTGGGGACCTGTGATTTATAATACTGTTGAGAATTAGGTCACATACATACCTGTTCTAACCCCCCCCCCCACCACCACCACACACCAGCCACCCGCCCCCAGCCCTCACCCGGCCCCACCTGCTCAATCCCTCCTTCCTTTTTCTCCACCATAGTAAGCTCAATCTTATAGACCAGTTGTCAGATATAAAAAGATTTCTCTTAGGGTCAGAGAAATAGTACAGCGGGGGAGGGCACTTGCCTTGCACACAGCCGACCCGGGTTCAATCTCTGGCCTCCCATCTGGTCTCCTGAGCACTGGCAGGAGTGATGCCTGCGTGTGGAGCCAGGAGTAACCCCTGAGTATCACTGGGTGTGGCCCCAAAACAAAACACAAAACCAAAATGAAACATCAGTATTATATATCTTATTTTTTCTTCTTTGGTTTTTTGGGTCAAATGCAAATGCCCTACCTGCTGTGCTAATCGCTCCAGCCCCTCTTTTTTTTTTTTCTTTTTCTTGGCTGTAGGATTTTCCAGAGCTTTTGTCTCATTCTCTTGCGATGTTAGGCATTGAACCCCGGTCTCACGCCTTCAGGTAACATGCTTTAGGGCTGAGCCGTAGCTCTGCCCCTCAGAACTTTGACTCCGATGAACTGTTTCACTGTGGCTCTTCATCACTGTGACTCGGCCTTTGCATTATGACCCAAACACCACTGGGAAATAAGCGGGTAGGAGTGAGTGGTGATGTGTATACTCGTGGAGGAAGAAGGGCAGTGAGTGAGAGGCAACGGCCAGATGGTTTTGCTCATGAACAGCAAAGGCAAACCCTCTCCCAGAGGGGAGGGAAGCGGATAGAGCGATGGGCTGAGGGTTTGAGTGGTGGCGGGAGAGTGTATTAACCTAAGTGATGGGTCGGGGTGACCGTTATGGCAGAAGGGGTGAAGCTTGAGCAGGAGGCTGGTGCCAAGGACAGGAGCACACGCTCTGTACGGGGGAAGCCGGGGTTCCATCCCCTGTACCCTCTGGTCCCCTCAGCACTGAGTTGGGAGCAGTCACTGAAGCCAGCATGATAGGCCCTCCCGAATCCAGATAAATACATCATGAAATCAAATCCTGGACTGGGAGCTCTGGGTACGACTTGGGGAGGAGACACCTTGTGTGTATAAGGTGGGGGATCCCCAGCATTGCAGGTACCCTAAGTTTGTGTGTGACACCCCCCTGCACCCCCCAACACATACAACAGAAGAAAGCAACAGCAACAAAGAGAAAGGGAGAACATTGATTGATTGATTGATTTTCATTGATTGATTGATTGTGGGGGAAAGTTCCTTTTTTTTTTTTTTTTTTTTGCTTTTTGGGTCACACCCAGCAAAGGCACAGGGGTTACTCCTGGCTCTGCGCTCAGGAATTACCCGTGGCAGTGCTCAGGGGATCATATGGGATGCTGGGAATCGAACCCGGGTTGACTGCATGCAAGGCAAACGACCTACCCATTGTGCTATTGCTCCAGCCCCGAAAGTTCCTTTAAAAGGTGCAATCATTGGGGCTGGAGCGTTAGCACAGTGGATGAGACACCTGCCTTGCACATGGCTGACCTGGGTTGGATCCCCGCCAGGAGTAATCCATATGAGCACAGAGCCAGGAGTAACTCCTGAGCACTGCTGGGTGTGGACCCAACAACAACAACAAAAAGTAAGAAGATAGTACTAATAATAAAGGGGCTGGAGAGATAGTGCAGTGACCAGGGCACTTGCCTTACATACAGTCAACCTGGGTTAGATCTCCGGCATCCCATATGGTCCCCTGAGCACCACCAGGAATAATTCCTGAGGGCAGAGCCAGGAGTAACCCCTGAGCACAGCTGGGAGTAGCCCAGAAATCAAATAATAATCACGGTCACTGTCACTGTCCTCCTGTTGTTCATCAATTTGCTCGAGAGGTCCCAGTAACGTCTCCATCATGAAACTTCTTGTTACTGTGTGTGGTATATCGAATACGCCACGGGTAGCTTGCCAGGCTTTGCCGTGCCGGCGAGATACTCTCGATACCTTGCCGGGCTCTCTGAGAGAGGTTGGAGGAATCGAACCTGGCTCACCTGGGCTGGCTGTGCGCAAGGCAAATGCCTTACCACCATGCTATGTGCTCACTTCGGCAGCACATATACTAAAATTGAAACAATACAGAGAAGACTAGCATGGCCCCTATGCAAGGATGACACGCAAGTAATAATAAAATAAAATAATAAAAGATGAAAATGTGAACACATACATGCACGCGGATGCACACACACGCGCACACGCACGCACGCATGCATACACACACCAAAAAATTGGCCCAGGTGCCCAGGGGCAGACGATGCAGGATGCTGTTTTTTTTGCCAGTTGCACCCCGTGGCATGGCTGGGTGTGCTCAGGTCTGACTTTTGGGCACCGTGGCTAAGTGTGTGATCTGCAGTGAGCACCAAAAAGTCAGGTGTGCACCCCAGGGGACCCCACCTCCCATTTTATCACAGCAGCAAACAGAAGGGCTGGGGGTGGGGGTACCCAAGGGGCTGAGGAGTCCACTGAGGGATTTGGCGGCCCCGCGTGCAATTTCACTCTGCTCCATGGTGTGAATATGGTTGTTTGCACTGGGCTGGGGTGTCGGGTGTCTCTGGTCCCGGTCACAGGCTGAGAAAATTGTTCCAAGCTCCTAAGCCATAAAGGGAACAGTGTGGGAGCTGGAGGCGATAGGACAGCAGGTAGGGTGCTTGCCTTGCACACGACCGACCCAGGTTCGATTCCCAGCATCCCATATGGTCGCCTGAGCACCACCAGGGGTAATTCCTGAGTGCAGAGCCAGGACTAACCCCTGTGCATTGCCAGGTGTGACCCCCCCCAAAAAGGGAAGCGTGTGTAGGGGTGTGTGTGTGTGTGTGTGTGTGTGTGTGTGTGTGTGTGTGTGTAGTGTATTGAGACCACACCTGTTGGTGCTTGGGTCTGGCTCTGAATCATATGGGGTGCCAGGGATGGATTTCCAAACAAATGACGGGTACTTATTCCCTTTTATTTGCAAGAAGAGCAAAGAGGATGAATTTTATTAATATGAAAATGGCAATACTATTTGGTTTATTCATTTAGTTTTTGGTGTGTGTGGGGGGGGCGTCACACCCAGCTGTGCTCAGGGCTTCCTCCTGGCTCTACACTCAGAGATCACTCCTGGTGGTGTTTGGGGGGCCATCTGGGTTGGCAGGGATTGACCCTAAATCGACCGAGTACAAGGCAAGTCCCTTACCTACTGTACTATCTCTCTGACTTCTGTTCATCTTTTAAAAATTGTTTGGTGCTGGGGATTCAACCCAGAGCCTCACATATGCAAAGGCAAGTTCCTCTGAGCTATATTCCCACCTTCCTATATATGTATGAAATTTATTATTTTATTTGGGGACCATACCTAGCAGTTCTCATGACTTATTTTTTTTTTATTTGTATCACTCTAGCACTGTCCTCCCATGGGCTCATCGATTTTCTCGAGCGGACCCAGTAACGTCTCCATTGTGAGACTTGTTGTTACTGTGTTTGGCATATTGAATACGTCACAGGGAGCTTGCCAGGCTTTGCTGTGCAGGCGAGATACTCTTGGTAGTTTGCCGGGCTCTCTGAGAGGGGCGGAGGAATCGAACCTGGGTCAGCCACGTCGACCGCATGCAAGGCAAACGCCCTACCACTGTGCTTTTGCTCCTTTATTTTTATTCAATCACCGTGAGATAGAGTTACAAAACTTCCATCATTGAGTTTCAGATAATGATCAAATACAATGATCATACAATGATCAAATACCCATCCCTCTACCAGTGTAGGTTTCCCATCACCAATGAATATCCCCAGTATTTCTCTCTCTCTTTCTCTACTTTTGGGCATCATGGTTTACAATACAGATACTGGGAGACCATCTTCTGGCCTTTTATCTACTTCAGCTCACATCTCCCATCCCCAGCGATCCTTCCAGCCATCATTGATAGATCCCTTCTCTATCCCAGCTGCCTTCTCTTCCAGCTCATGAGGCAGGCTGCCCACTGTGGAGCGGTCTTCCTGGCCCAGTCTCTGCTGTCCTTGGGTGTTTCTCTCATACTGTCTCACAACTTACTTCTGGCTCTGCCTTTAAGGGGTCAGTCCTGGCTTGGGGGCCCATACGGGATGAAGCCCCGGTCAGCTGCACGCAAGGCAGCACCTTGCTGTAGTATTCTCCCTTTCTCCTGCCCCTGCTTCTCTGACTTTGAAATTAACCACAGGGAGAAGATTCCTACTCTCTAATTAAAACGGAAAAATACAGTATATCCTGTGTATGCCTGAGCTTTCATTTCTTTTCTTTTTTTTTTTCTCTTGCTTTCTGGGGCCACACCCAGTGATACAGGGGTTACTCCTGACTCTGCACTCAGGATCACTCCTGATGGGGCTCTGGGAACCATATGGGGTTGCCAGGGATTAAACTCAGGTTGGCCTGCCTTGGGCAAGGCAAACACCCTATTGCTGCACTGCACTATTGCTCTGGTCCCCAGCTAATTTCTTTTCTACTCCTCCTCCTTCTGTTCTCCTCTCCTCTCCTCTCCTCTCCTCTCCTCTCCTCTCCTCTCCTCTCCTCTCCTCTCCTCTCCTCTCCTCCCCTCCCCTCCCCTCCCCTCCCCTCCCCTCCCCTCCCCTCCCCTCCCCTCCCCTCCCCTCCCCCTCCCCTCCCCCTTCCCCTCCCCTCCCCACCCCCCTCTTCCTCCTCCTCTTCCTCTTCCTCTTCCTCTTCCTCTTCCTCTTCTCTTTGCAGTGTTTGGCATGGAGGCATGGGTCCCAGAGCCTCATTCACACATCATGTGTTCTACCTCTGAGCCATATCCCAGGCCCTTTTTGTTCCTTCCCTCCGTTTTAATTAGAGAGTAGGAATCTTCTCTCTCGGCGTTGCATTTCTTGGACATGTGGAACATGTGTGACTCAGTACAGCATTCTTCTCTAGGTCCCGTCTGGACTCAACTAGCATTTTGCTCCACCCTGTGGATTAATGCATGCGCTCAGGCATTATCTGGCCACATCTCCATCAGCCCTGGGGAGACTTGGAAGTGTCGGGTGCCGAACCCACCTTCACCAGCTACAGAGGAAACACCACCCCAACCCCTGCTCCCAGAAAGGACAGATTCCGTCTCTATCTCTCCAAAATGTAAAAAAACATCTCGCCAAGATTTGTTTGCAAGGACTTAACCATTTATATCAGTATGTGCCCTTGAAGATGCCGGCAGACAATCCCACCTCAAAACTGCCAAGAAGAGCCCAACCCAGCATCTTCCAAGGACAGAGGCCCTCATGCTCTTTCTGTGACCAGCGTCACACCCCTTCAGTTGTGTCCTCTCTCACATTCTAGTTGTGAAGAGCACACGAGCCCTCCCTGGACCATACTGCCTGGCTGTGGTACTAGCTGCACAGTGGCAAAGGCTGACCGGGGTTTGAGCCCTGACACAGCATGTGTTCTCCTGAGTACCACAGAAGTGATCCCTGACTGCAGGGTTGAGAGAGTCAGCTCTGAGCACTGCTGGGTGTGGTCCCCAAACAACCCCTTTCCCCACCCCAATCACATCTCAGTGGCCTTTTGAACTTACATCTAGATTTGCTAATTAATTGTAAGCAAGGGATGAAAGAAAGTAGAGGGCTGGACGAGCTAGGGCACTTGCCCTGCATCTGACCCAGGAGTGATTCCTGAGCACAGAGCCAGGAACCAGCACTGGGTGTGGCCACAAAACAAACCAACCAACCCAACAAAGTAAAAAGTGGAAGCAACAGTCAGACTTATTAAAATGTGGAAGTTTGAGGAGTAATTTCATTATTCTGCAGTGAGTATTATAATGCGCTGTCCTCCCGTTGTGCATCGATTTGCTTGAGCGGACCCAGTAACGTCTCCATCATGAGACTTGTTGCTACTGTGTTTGGCATATTGAATATGTCACAGGTCGTTTGCCAGGCTTTGCCGTGCGGGTAAGATACTCTCGGTAGCTTGCCAGGCTCTCCGGGAGGGGCGAAGGAATTGAACCCAGCTCGGTTGGGCTGGCTGCGTGCAGGGCAAATGCCCTACTGCTGTGAGTATTATAATAACTTTATAAAATCTATTTCTGGGGCTGGAATGATAGTACAGCAGGTAGGGCATTTGCCTTGCACTCGTCCAACCCAGGTTCGATTCCCAGCATCCCATATGGTCCCCCAGCACCGCCAGGAGTAATTCCTGAGTGCAGAGCCAGGAGTAACCCCTGTGTGACCCAAAAAGCAAAATAAATAAATGAATGAAATGAAATAAAATCTCTTTCTTTTCTCTTTCTCTTTCTTTCTTTCTTTCTTTCTTTCTTTCTTTCTTTCTTTTTTGGATGGGGGAGGGTTGGGGGCACACCTGGTGATGCTCAACGGTTTACTCAGGAATCACTCCTGATGGTGTTTTTTTTTGGGGGGGGGTACCATGTGGGATGCCAGGAGTTGAACTTGGGATGCTGACTGCTGGCTAGGCAAGCATCCTGACTGCTATACTATCCTCCACCCCCTTTTCCGTGACACTTAATTAAAAAGCCCATCCTTGTGTCTGCCACATCGGACTTTGAAAACTCTTTTCCCTTCCCCAGTTGGGCTTCCGTGGAGTTAAGCGTTGTGAATGGTTTGTCTTGCTCCAGTGAACCCTGAAGGGCTTGTAACTGTGTGAACTTGAACTGGGGATCAGGGTCAGAACGAAACTTCTTGAATGGAACTACAAATTCTTCCTCTGGCAATGAAGAGGAAAGGGAAATGTCACCCATTTGTTGCTTTTTATGGTAATGAAGAAGGAAAAAATCCTCAGAGATTCTGGGTGCTGTGCTCGGAGTTGAGCAGCTGGCTCATTTCTGCTTCGGATAAGAAGCTGAGAAGGAAACTGATTTATTTTTCCTAGAGTCTGATCAAAGCACAGAAGTGCATTCTATAACTTAGCTAATTTTTTTAGGCACGTTCCTTCTTTGGTAAAATCTTAAGTATCAACGTACTTTTGTAAGATGTCTTCAGGCCAAAGCAAGCGGGCGTAACTAACGCCATCTAGTCTATACTGATTGCTGCTTCTTAATAAATCTTTTTTTAAATTTTCCTCTTTTTTTTCTTCCTTTTTAACTTGTGTCAGAGATCCAGACATACAAGGCAAGTGCTCTAGGGCTGAGCTAAACCCCTAATATTTTCTAATACTGTGATTATTTTTACATTAGGCTACAAAATTTTTTTTA